GTACTCAAAGTACTGTTCAGTTGTTACTGTCCTGCTGCTTTCAGTTCATGCCCTTGTTCCTACGAAATACAAAACATTGTTAGGTGTTCTTATGAAAACATGAAGCTCTTCTCCCCTCCACGTCATTTCTAGCGCGTTCTTTTATTTGCTATTACCTTTGGAAGATGTTCAGGGCGAAGAGCATCTTTGTATTCCAGAGCTGGAAAGGACGTGACTGTACGTCTAGTCGAGTGACCTGATCCTAATCCCAGTTGGAAGGCCGTGCGCCAGTAACCCTCAGGGACACAAAGCAGCAGCACGGCAGGCACGGCTGCAGCAAGCTGGGGCAAGGGCGTGCTCTAAACATGCATTACATGGCCTGGCAACTCCGGTGTATAATCTAAGGCCTGCCCCCCCCAGCATTCCTAGCTTGTAATGTCACTCGTACCTGTGTGTTGGGCTTCTTTTGAAGCTGGTCAGACTGTAACTACCCAAGGCACAACCTGTTCTTTTACCTGTTTTTGTGGCACAGACCTAACCAAACTTAACGTGACCACCGGAGGGCTCATCCTGGCAGGTATCTGTAACTCCAACCGAATCCCTGCGCACTAGGATCAGTTCCCTTTCCACAACGTGTTTGTATTCAGCATCATACGTGGCCTCTGAAGGCTGTGGGGATAAAATACTAGTATTACTAGAAATTTCCAAAAGATGCAAAATTAACAGCATCAATGCAGCTTTGTACTGGTCCCAATGTATGTGTGTGGTGCGTGTTTTCAAGGAAAAGAATTACTGGTGGGCGTATTTGGGTTTGATTGTCACCACTGTCTACTTGAAGCTCATGCATTAGGCTGTCTGGGTCGTCTGGGACCACTGACGTGCTACAAGTGCTGTGAAACAAATCCGCTCCACAGCACGAACTGACGGACAAGGAACGCTTGCTCAACGCAAGGGGAGATCGTGGCCAAGTCTCCCGGTCCTGGTTGCCTTCGCAGTGGGCAGTGTTGAGAGCCATACTCCACCCTCAGTGCTGAGTCAGCGGGCAGGGGTGCTGCTCGGTGCGAGGCCTTCAGCGCACAGAGGTGCAGCCGAAACACGCAGCTGGATACCAGCAGCAAAGCCGTAGCCCCCGTTCAGCATCTTGGAACAGGCAGGCAGGTGCTCCGAGACCCTCTCTGTCCGGCTGGTGCCATCGTTCTGTTTCAGGCAAGAATGCTCTGGTTGTGTCTGCAGGTCGTCTGCTGGCAGAGCTCGCTCGGTGCGCGATTCCACCGGGTGTTTCCTTCCGTCAGGCCTTTTGCCTCCTGGGCTGTCTTGTCCCTTGGGCTGTTCCTCTCAGACGTGACAGCAAATTTGTTTCAGAGTAATCAGGTTGGACCTGAACAGGTAACTCAAGGAAAAACAGAAACTCAGAAGGTGGTGTTTTCTTCAGCTGCTGTTTACATAACCATTTGTGTTTTACCATTTTATGGCCCCTCCTTGGGCACACTTGACAAGTTTCAAAGTCCCTAGTGGTCAAAATACCCCCAGCAAAGAAAACCTTGTTTTGCCTAGCCTTCCTCACACGCTGCAAGAACCGGCAAGCCATGTGCCTCGCGGTGCAGGCTTGCAGCTCTCCCAGGTGAGGTTGGAGCCCGCCCGCCCTTAGGGGTAGAAGGTAGAGAGGTTCTAACGCGGCTCTAAAACCCCAGCTTCCGCGTTAGTGAAGCGGAATGACAGCAAAGCGTTAGTCTGCTCTGATTTCTGTGCTGGCTGTACGTGTGGAGAGGGGGTCTGATTCTCCCCGGCTGAAGAGGAACAGTGGACGATGTACTTGGCTTCTGCAAGCTGAGGTTCAAAAAGCCCCACAAGGCGATTCTCTCCATGGGAGCCCAGATTTCTGAACGCAGTGCGTGCTCTTCCTTGAGCTGGCAATCTGTCCTGGTTCTGTCTGTGTGATGAAACCATAGAACAAAGACTGGGTTGAATACCTCCTTTCTGTCCACGATTTCAATGTCTGCTGGAAGGTTTCCCTCAGCTCTGAAACAGATTTTTGCCTGCTACAATCGTTTTGTTCTGGTTCACACTGCAGGAATGTGTGACTAAGCAGGTACCCAGGAAACCCTTCCAAGTACCTTGTGTGTCATGCTTCAAATTCATCCACGAGTCGTGGCTACGTGCAAAATGGGGTGTAGAACATTCTTTTTTAAAAGCGACGATACTCTCTCCGACAAGCTGAGTTGCCTTTTTTTTTTTTCCCTTCTACAAAGATAGGAGGGGTAGAGGGACACTTCCTCTTTCCACTCAGTCATGCACACTTGCTGCTTTTATTCTCCTTTCATTAACTCTCTCAGGATTCAGCACAACAGCAGCATTATATAAGGCTAAAGAATTCTTACATAAATCTGAGTGCATGCCTTTTGGGAAGAACCGGGTGCTTTCCATGGCTGTAAGTAAAAATGAATCACTTCCTTTTCAGATGGGAGCTTTAAACCTTGTGTTTTGCGTAGTTAATTGCCACAAGCCAAAATAACCTTTCTAGCTCTATGAATTTTCACCGCTGCTGACTGGAGGAAGATTAAAAAAAAACACCACACGGTGATAAATAGAAACGTAAGAATTTCCAAAATAAAGTATTCCTTGCTCCAACTGCCTCTTTTAGCATGAAGCGCAGCTCATTTTTTGCCAGCGTGTTTAATGTTCCTAGCACATGGCTGTAGAGCCAAGAACCTGGGTGTCGTCTGAAGGACAGAAGGAGAGAGGGAGAACAGTGTGAACCGACACCTGCGGAACAGCACGGAGAACAGTCGGCAGGTCAGGCAGCACAGGCGGTTAAGGTTTTGCTAGAGGCTAACAGAGATGTAGGCTCAGGACTCAGCGGCTCGGTAACAGCATCATGGAAGACTCTCGGCGTGTTCCTACAGATGGGGAAATGCAGGGATGTACCTTGTGCCTGCTTTTAAGCTAGGAGAGTGAGTGACTGTATTACGAGGCAAGATTAGTATGTGGGAAATGAATCGGCAAATCGGGAACCCGGGAGGAAAACTGGGGAAAAAAGATAAATTGCCAGCCTCTTTGATGAAAATAAGTGAGAACCAGTACCAGGACAGGTCAGAGGCAGCAGAAACAGTACTGGGACCACAGTCCTAGGAGAAATTCTTTGGCCTGTCATCCTCCCCCACTATGGGATGGTTATCTCCTGGTATGAGACCGAGTTCCTCACTCAGTGAAAGACAAGCAAGAGCAGGCGTCAAGGACCTGCTGTCGGAGGGGGAAGTAGTGAGCTGGCAATAGGAAGACATGGAAAGAAAAAGGCAGGTTAAGGTCAGAAACCCACTGGCCATCATGTTAAGGAAGAGGAGGATGAAGGAAACAGAAGCAGAGAGAAGTATTTGTAAGTATAAAATGAAGCAAACGATCTCTTCATTCAGAGGTAAAGAGGACCTAAGGCTGGGAGAAAGACAAGGTTAAAATATTCTGCTAAACCAGCACAATAATTCATCACCACAGAAACTGAAACCCCTTGTTGGCAAACTGGGGGATAAGCATGGGATACAGTCAGTATATTAAAAGACCAGTGGATGGCAGCATATTTTTACTACTAAAATACTGGCTTGTCATGCCATGTGCTTTGGTTGTAGCTCATCTGCTGACTAACACATCACATGTCCCAAGAACAAATCCATGTTTGGTAAGTTAGCCCAAGCTGCAAAGATCTGTGCTTTTTGTGTAGAGTTCGGCTTTCTGCAAGACAGTGGCGACCAGTGCTGTAGCTGTGCCACGCTGAGTCACCTGGGTACGGAGCAGCATGTTTTGCAGGAGTGAAAGGCACAGAATGAGAGAGAGGGGGAGGGTCGTATCATGTCTGTAAGACTACATCAGGAATAAAAACTCCAAAGGCTATGCCTAAAGAATGACCGTAGTGCATTACTTCTCATAATTTAGTGTGGTCTCAGACCCACGTTTGTTGTTCTACCATGAAGCTGATGATTTCTTCTCAAAAGTTAGAAATAAAATTAAGTTGTAGAGAAATTTCCTGAGCTATAAAACTACGTATGAAGATAAAAACTGAGTACCGATTCAGGCCACAGCAAAACCCCAATCCAACCCAAAACTGGTGTGCATGGAGTACTAAAAGGAAGGTGTTTTGCTAATTACACTCCAGGAAAAAAAAACAAAACCCCACATTGTTCTTGCTTACCATATTTATTCACTCTAAGTGGAAAAAATGTGACAAGTCACAATGGAATTGACTCATTACCATACATACTGTCTGTATTCCCTGTTCACATCCATTTCAACTGAGAAAGAAAAATATACATTTTAAAAGAACAGTCTATAAATTCATTTGATAAACAGACTTCGAAGAACCTGTGAAAATTAGAAGGAAGGTTTTTCAAGACTTGCCTCTCATGTCTTCTCTGAAGCAAAACACTTAATGTGAAGCACACCTGACATCTGACTTCCATACACCGCAGAGGTTTGCTATGTAGTCTTCACGAACGTGTACTTACTAAGTATTTCACAGTACCAGAGCATGAGTCCCTTCATCAGCTTCAAACCCTGTGAACTAGATACTGTAAAGAACGCTTGTATAAAAAGGGCAGGTCAGATACAAAAAAGAGGAGAGCATTAGCAGTCGTGTTTCTTTGGGAGAGAGTACATTGCATTTGGTTCTGACTTCCTAAGAAAGAGCAGCAGACAAAAAAGCATGGTAATCATTTCAGTTACCTGAAGCTCTTCAGTTTTAAGAGCATTTGTAAAAACGGGTCCAATTATAACAAACTGATATTGGCATAATTGACTTTGAAATAAAGCATTGTGTTAGTGCCGAATGCATTAAGAGCTGAAATATAGTAAGACAAGCTATTCTGTTGGTCAGCTTGTCAGGTGTGTGTGCTGAAGCTTCCCCTTCACATTACAAGGTTTGGTACAGCACACCAGGTACTGAAGCCGGAATGTTTTTTTTCAATGGTAGCAACTACATCTGAGAAGATTACCATGACTAAACATGAAGAGGAAAGAGGACTGAAAGCAGTGATTTATAGACGTTCTAATTTTTCACTCAGAAATTCTTCCACACTGTCTGTGTTCCACTTGAGGATGCTCAGTTCTTCTGCAATGTTCCCACTGTCGTCCAGCAGCTTCAGTACAGGGTCAGAACCACGCACGTACTGTAGGAAAAAACCACCAAACCCAAAAACCCAGTCAGTTACCTTGTGCTGCGAAGTGCATTCTCCATATACACACTTCCGCCCAACCCCCCCCAAATGTTTTACCTCAGTTAAGAAGGTGTCTAAGCAAGAACAGTAAGAAGTCCAAAGAGTGACACCTCGAGGGATGAATATTTAAGAACAGAGCACTAAATTAAATCACAGTATTCTGGGCAAAATTTGGCAATACAATTTGTGCTACGAAATCACCCTAAGCTTTGGCTTTTTAAAGCTTAGAATTCTTAAAAACCAAGCAAATAAGCTTGATTGTTCAATACAGTGCTCAATACTGTAAATATTCCAGTGCCAAGTATTTTGTTCTGATTCAATGTATTCTACTTTTCTTGAAGAAAACATCTATGAAAACCAAAGCTTAGGAGAGAACAAACTGAAAGACTGATCCTATGCTGCTACCTCCTCTCCTCCAGGATTTTTTCACCTACTGTCCAGATTCAAAGGAGAAGTAGGTGTTCAGAGTTAGTCTGTGTGTATGCAAGGGAAGAACGGGTGAGAGGGGAGCCACCACACTGAAAAATCAAAGACGGAGACGCTGTAGGTTGCGTGCTCCCCTGGCAGCAGCTGGCCAGTGCTTGCAGCTCTGGATTAGGTGCTTTCTTGCCTAGTCCTAAGATTCCTTAGGAATCCTTAGGAATCCTTAGGGTGGGAGAAAATGAGTAAGCGTAAGGGACAAAGAGGCTTCATTTCACAGGAAATGAAAACACGTGAAGATCAGTAAATGTTTATCCTGAGATGCAGAACAGAGCTACTTGCCTTAAATAAACCAGGTAGGAATCAGCTTCAGTTCAAACTTGACTTGCATTTAACATCAGAGAGGACAGTGGAGGAAGAAGTGAAATTATGAGGGATGCGTGCGCGTGTGTGCGCGTGAAACACCTACTTCTTGTGCTCCCTGGCCCGCTACACAAGCTAACGCATGCGCCAGGGAGCAGTGCCATAAGCCCAGCTCTGAAAGACAGTATTCCACCTCAGCCGCTGGAAGTTACTGAAGTTGGATTTTTGAATCAAGCAGCTGAATTATTTTTCTCATATAATCAACAGCCTTTTCACCATTTTAGACATTTCTGGTCACTTTAACAGCTCAAAGTTCTACTAGCAGCTTTGAATGCAATCACGGCGTTTCCTGCTGCACTCTATCAGTGCCTACGAGGCTTTGCTGACAACACGATACTTTAATGCTTCTGCAGACTCACTAAGGCACAAGAGATGTAATGCAAATAAAAGCTTTTAACAATATTAGAAGGCTCTAACTATTTAAGTTTATGGCAAGATTTCTGCAGGAACATTTTACTGAGCTAACCTTGTTGGTTTTACTTAATGAAGCTAGTGGCATCTCTAATCTGTTTTCCAAAAGTCTTGCAAAAAAAATTCGGATTCATTTGCCCTATTTTTTTTTCTGGTAGTGCTCTGTATCAGTTCTAGTCTAGACTGCTTTGCTGCTCAGTACAGCTACAGTGCTTAAAATAAAAATTAAACAGTCAGACATGCAGAAGGAGATAAAGCTTTTGAAAGAAACGGGAGGACAGAGACGTGAATGTATGAGACAGACAGAGGAAATCTGTTCTAGATGGAATCTGCTGCTAAGAAGACAAATCACTCATTGCAGCCATGCATAGCTATGAAGTGATTCCAGATGGTGCCATTTGGTGAGTAGAGATGGGAGCACAGGATGCGAGAATCAAGATGTGTATCTGTGAAGTGTGCTGGAAGCTCACACAGGATTTCAGGAGAAAGGTGAAGTCTTACACTAGCATCTTGAAACCAAAGAATTGTTGGAGCTTAAGGCAGTGCATATGCAGCTCTGGAAATATGCAAGTCAGTATATACATCTCTGTGAAGCTGGATGCTTGAAGAGCATAAAGAAAAGGAGAATCATAGAACACAGCAAGGAAATTCTGAAAGGGAGGAGAAAAATCTAAGGATCACTTAATGTATGGAAATGGCAACTCCATGAGAAAATGAGGGAAGAACAGACCAGGAGAGATGGCAGAATAAGCTTGAGTAAATTAAAGATATCCACAGAGTAAGGACACAGTGCAAGCATTCCTCATATTCTTTTGCCATTTGCTATTACTTATCAGTTCCAGGATATTCTTTCTTGTAATAGGAAATAAACAAGTAACAACAAAACCCCCAAATCCTTAACAACAACAAAGAATTGGTACCAAACCGTTACTGAGCAATAAACCAATTAATATTAACAGCAGGAACTTGTAAAGAAGTCTACTGGCAATGCAAATGTATATTCTCTGCTAAAGGATTAATTAATCAGCAGATAAGGAACAATCCACAGAAGGACTGTCTCCACCAAGCTTAATTCTTCCCAACATCCCAAATAAAATATTTAGGTTACTACTCACCTTGATTTGCAGTCCCCTGAAGAGTTTTGGCTTATCACTCCTGACAAAAGCTATGGTTTGGAGAAAAGAAAGAAATATGATCAAACTCTTCTCCACTTGAATAAAGCAGATTTACATTCAAGCCAGTATTCCCTGAATTATTTCTTTCGGAATGATGCTTTAGAAGGTATTTCAATTTTAAAGTTCTTAATATCCTCACAAAATAACTACTACAAACCTATTATGCCTAAAAAACAGCCTGGTTTTGCTCGTATTCCAAACGAGCTTTGTACCTGCTGGATTTTCCACAAACACTAGTGCAACTGTCTAAATCAGTTTATCTGCACGTACGCTGCCAGTCTTCAGCAGACAGGCCCACGTGCTGCTGCGATACACAGATGTGAGGAAAAGCGTTAGAGCGATCAAAATCTGGCTGAAGATAAGCTCTGGGAGGGGGCTAAATGCAACACACATCTCCACACAAGCCACAGCAGTGCGGGTGGCGTAGCACTGAGGAAACTGTGGGTAGAGGTGTTATTCTTGCAAACACAACGGACAGAGCCAGCAAGAAAACCAACCACAAAACAAGCTGGTATCAGCTGCTCTCTTGACACTTCTACAGGCAATTGGCTTTAAGATGGACACTATAGCCTGTCAGGCAGCTACATGGAGAGAAGTTCAGGTCTGAGGTGGGCTGCTGCTGAACAAGGCTTTGCTTGAAGCACTAGTCAGCAAACAGCATGCGTTAGCAGCAGCACCATCCCTCTGTCCCCAGAGCACAGCCCAGGCCTGGCGTTAACGTTAACTTTACAAAGAAAAGGCGACATGAATTATTTCAGGAAAAGTGCGAGCATAGAATCCTAGAATGGTTTGGGTTGGAAGGGACCTTAAAGACCATCTAGTTCCAACCCCCCTGCCATGGGCAGGGACCCCTTCCACTAGACCAGGTTGCTCCAAGCCTCATCCAGCCTGGCCTTGAACACTTCCAGGGATGGGGCATCCACAGCTTCTCTGGGCAACCTGTTCCAGTGCCTCCCCACCCTCTCCGGGAAGAACTTCTCCCTGATATCTAATCTAAACCTCCCCACTTTTAATTTAACCCCATTACCCCTGGTCCTGTCACTACAGGCCCTTGTAAAATGTGTCCCGCACACCCCACCCCCCCCCAGCTTCCTTGTAGCCCCTTCAGGCACTGGAAGGTGCTATAAGGTCTCCCTGGAGCCTTCTCTTCTCCAGGCTGAACAAGCCCAACTCTCTCAGCCTGTCCCCAGAGCAGAGGTGCTCCAGCCCTCTGAGCATCTTCGTGGCCTACTCCGGACTCACTCCAACAGATCTATGTCCTTGTTATGTTGAGGGCTCCAGAGCTGGATGCAGCATTCCAGGTGGGTTCTCAGGAGAGCGGAGAAGAGGGGGAGAATCCCCTCCCTCGACCTGCTGGCCACACTTCTCTGGATACAGCCCAGGATACGGTTGGCTTTCTGGGCTGCCAGCACACACTGCCAGCTTGTGTCCAGCTTTTCATCCATCAGTATCCCCAAGTCCTTCTCCTCAGGGCTGCTCTCGATCCAGTCTCCACCCAGCCTGCACTTGTGTCTGGGATTGCTCTGACCTAGGTGCAGGACCGTGCACTTGGCCTTGTTGCATAACTCCCCTACTTCCAAACACTTTACCCCAATGAACACCTGAGTTCTAGAAGTATTTAAAATTCATTTAGAAAATAGCAGTGTCTTCATTCCTCCTTCCAGGTTATGCTAAAGGCTGAATCTGCACTGACATTAAGTGCATTCGGGACACTCCTGGCAGTAGAGTCTCCCCCAGGATGAACCCTGTCAGTACAGGCCAACTCTTGCAAAGGTGCTAGCTGCATGTTCAAGCTGCTTTGTCCAGGTCAGACAACGATGAGTCTCTCACAAACGGCAGTGCGTCCAGCTGGTGTGCAGAGACAAGTGCAACCTCAGGACTAACATTTCATACTGCCTCACCAAGCGTAGAGCATTCCTCGGTAACCGTAAGGATGCCCCCTGGCATTTTTATACCCATGTTACGTAGACAGTTACCTCAACACTTTCTCAGTGTGTACACAGAGTGGCATTTATTTTCTTCCCTCTTTCACTGCGCTCCTGGTACAGAACAGAATCATACACTCTGCCTGCTGCACCAGCCACCACGCAGCAGGAAAGACTTACAAACATACCCACGAGCTGCCAGATGCACGGGACCCCTGAAGAAAACACGGCTTGGTTTCGTTCTGTCAACAGAACTATACATCTTGTAAGCTGTACTCGTATAACAATTTCAAATAGCAGTAAATAGCCAGCACTTGCTCACACATCGCAGTTCAATTCTGATTTAAACTCCCAAAGATGTAATTTTCAACTTTTGTGTCTCCCACATCCTCCTGACCTGTTAGTTATCTCGGCTGCCACCAACAGCAACATCCACCAAAGCAGCAAAGGTATTTCTTACTCTTTGTTAAGACCACAGCACGCAGACCTATTTCACAGGGAATTCTTCCACAGTTTTTTCAATTTAAATCTAAAGCTGAAATCAGTCTCTGGGGCTTCATATGAAAAGGAGGCTGTGAGCAGCCATCAGTACAGTGGGTAACACTGATTTCAAAACTAAAGAGGAAAAACTGTAAGAGCATAGTAAAATGGATAAAGTTTCAGAAGCAAATCTGAACTGTGGAACTCAACTGTACTAGAGTTGTAGCCTTTGGGAGTGAAGTCAGGTTACAGCACTTTAAGCTTGTAGCAGGTGTGAGGATATGTTACTTGAGTGACAGAGGAAAGCTCATTTGGACAGGAGTGGCTGTTCTCTGGCTGCAGTGCTGGGCTGAACAAGCTCACATAAAATGGGAACTGAATGGGGTGGAAGTAGAAAACATTCTATAGGCAGTATTACATTTTGTCACTTTAAAAGTAGCTATTACACACATATCAATGTCGAACGTCTAAATCTTCTGAAAGCTGAAGCACTGCAGAACATTCTTCCTGAAATTTTAGACAGCTGGAATAAAACTGGTTTCTGTTAATGGCATATTTATTTCCAGTGCTGATCACAGTGACTTTCTGCATTAGTCACTTGAATTTGCAACGCAACAAAGAAAAACACTCACTGTAAAAATAATTTCTATATTCTCAATTTTGGAAGCTAAAGTGAGAAACTAATACAGTGATATGCATTAAAAAATACAGATTAACCCATCAAACACTTTTTTTTCTTTCCACAAAATCATGCCCTAAGTTGAATAAACAGCCTTTGAATGGAACTGATGGGGTTAGGAAGTTGGACGCAGCTACGTGCACATTCTGGGACATGTGGCTGCTTGCTTATGTGATGTGATGCACATGCTCTACCTCCAGCACTGCCCCAACAGTTTACTCTGCGCCCTAACGTGAACATCGTTGCTTGCTATGATCCTGTCTCGGCAGGCTGCTTGTGCATCTTTACACCACTGTTGAATAGCTTGATGTTTAATATTAAAATCCTAGTTGTCTCCCCATTTTCCTCTCCCTGTAGCAGCTTTAGACATTACACACTGCAGAGAAATAAGCATTTCTGTAATCCATCCATGGGTGAGTGAGGAAGGCATTTTCCACTTTGACTTCCGTAAGACAAACCCTGAGCTTGTGCCGTGACACTATGTTCCGGGGAATTAAACACCAGACCAGAAGTCAGGGCTGTTCTACTGCCAGCTCTGCAACTGTTCTTTCACATCATGTGAAGGAAGTCACCTCACCTTATGCTCCTACAAAAGATGTGCAATACCAAGCACACGCCTGCTGCTGGAAGGCAACCCTGAGGTGAGCCCACAGAGCACACAGCTGCCACACCATCAGCTACAACCAGAAGGGCAGAGGACAGGATCAGGTGCGTACAGGCGCTTAGGGCCTGCCCAGAGTCAAGCTGTTATACTGAACAGTGTTTTTAAAGAAGGAAGAGCTGCCTTTGCTTGTGAACACAGTACAATGGAGCAGCTCACTGCTATCATTAAAATGTCACTTTGTTTTGATAGACAGCACCTCTCTGTTTTGAGAAAGCACGGAAACTAGTCTGTCGGAATTAAAGCCTAGAGTCCGCAGTGGAGACAACTAAGGAATCTGAGAATCACTTATGCCCAAACGGCAAGTCTGTACACACAGGCACACGCCTGCGCTACCGTCTCTGAGGTGCAGTCGGGTGTAGGCTAAGAAAACTTCCTGACCCAAAACAGGCATGACGTCACCCCTACCCAAGCAGAGCTGCCCATCTATACACTAGGCATAACTTCTTCGTAAACAGAGTTGACTACCTACTGTTGTGTCTCAAAGGCATGATCCAGACTATCAAGGATCTGTCTGCATCCAAGAATATTCATGTTTTTTAGATTCCTGCTTTAGGGACAAAGATATCCTGCTTGATCTGTAACTGAAAAAAATACAAAATGATGTTGAAAAAAAATTAAACTAATCTCTTAATACTTGAGAGCCAAGATGCAACAGCAGTACAAATCTCACACTAGTGTTCAGCAACTGTGCACACAGAAGAGCATTTTTAACCTTTTCTGTCTCCACACACATCAGAAGGATTATAATGGCCTCAAATCAGAAAGGCCTGGAGGAGATTAAGAACACCTTACTGTCTCTATTATATCAGTTTCAGATTTTAATGGCAGAAAAGCATAAGTCAGAACTAGTCAGATCTTCAGCACAAGGTCAGCAATAAAATTTTTACTGCACAGTTCTTCCTCCTGGCAAGCTACAGCATGTCTTCTAGCAACATTCTAATGTGATTAAGTAGCTGCCAGTAATGGAAAAGTCTGCTTGTTCAAACTTCTAATCCTTTTGTTATTTAAAAGGCTGTGCTTTTAGTTTAGATTTATTCCACTGCTTACTGTTGTAACACTTGTGAGGGCTACGTGTGCCCGTGGGGATCCATCCAGCTTTTTAAACTGGACAAACCCTTCTAGTCTACACTGCTTTTCTAGTAAACAGAACCCTTTAGCTTCTGAACTCTCGATGCTGCGTACAGATACCCAGTTTCATATTACAGAAGTCTCATTAAAAACGCCAATTGTGCACTGAAAAGCAGCAGCATTACTCTTTTGATGAAGGCGACTATCCTTCCTGTCCCTCAGCATTACACCACAAGAGCCCATTATGTGATCAGGGCAAAGAGTGGCGAGTGCTCCAAGAGCAACGTCAGAAAGGAATACATCACTCATGAGTAAGGAGGAATGTTTCAAAATGAGTATAAAGGATGATCTATTTTTAGAGAAATATTTAAAGTCTTTTTTTGTGATGTTTCACCCATTCATTTCGCAATAGGAAGAACATGAGTTATTACTATCTTTCAAAAGACATTTTATCAAACAGTAGCATGGGTACTTCGTGCAACTCAATACAGCGTATACAACTGATTTTAAGACTCAAAATAGATTAAATGTATACAAAACGTTATAGGAAGTAACTGAATGATCTAATACTAACACACCAAAGGATGATTAAAGTACATCTAAGATTATCTGCACCCAGTTGTTTTGAGTTAATTTAAACAGAAAGCAAATGTAATATTACTTAGCATAAACCAGTGAAATAAAGGACAGTTTGCTTAACTCGGCCCTGAATTTTTACACACAAGCAGTTTGAAAATAAAAAAAATTACTAGGAACACAAGTTTGTGTAGAATGTCACAGATTTGTACACAAAGAAGGGTAAGAGGACTTGAGAATACTACACACGTGACCATTTTGTACCTGAAATGAACTCAAATAAAACAATGGTTTTATTGAGGCATTGCTAATTATCAAGTGTTAAACTGATGGTAAAGCAACCAAAACAAAAGGAACAGCAGCAGAGTGGTGTTTTAGGAAGACAGGAAAACCCAACATTTAATTACACCACAAATATCGAAGAATTACGAAGACAGCTGTTAATACTTGCTAAAAATATAAATGTACAAATCACTGGGGAACACAGGCATACCAAAAGCCTTCTTTCCTTTCCTCAGACTCTTTAATCATTTGTTTTGGGGACAAATACATGCTCTGCTGTTTTGAAAATCACATGAGCCTCTTCAACAGGTATCATGAGAGCCTAGCAAAAAGACAGAACTACAGCGGACATCAAGCACTCATGTACATTTTAACGGCGATCGCTCTTTACCTTCTGGTTACCTCAGTTTGAGGTAATAATTTAAGAATTCATATGGTACATCAATAACTACTATTTGTAGCCTATTAATCACGTTACAATGCAGCTGTTTGTGATTTTATATGAAGCCCCACATGCTTTCCAAAGCGAATCCGAGACAGAGCTCCCACCCAGCCTGAAGACGCAGCTTCACAAAAAAAGACGGGGTCCTTTCTAGAAGCACTAGGGCAAGAGACATTTCTAGATCTGAAGGGCAGTATTGGTTTAGTTTGTGTATCACTCGTTGACAAAGATTACGATAAGATGATACATGCTGCCCACTACAACAGCCTACATTGCTTAGCAAGAGCTTTACTAACATTGCCACCAGTACAAGATTTAAGGTTAATGCTGCATTCTAACCTTCTTTCACCAGTATTTAAGAATTACACATGAAAATAATCAGGAAAGAAGTGATACTACCTAAAAATACAACCCCTTAACAAATTACACGTAGAAGAACCCCCCTCACTCCTGAAGAACTTGGGTGCTTACTGACTCTGAAGTCAGAGGACCTAATGCAGATGCATTCTGCATGAGTTCACAGATCAAGGACCTTGCTTCTGTAACAGATCGGCTAGGAGCCTGTCCGTTTCTAAACTGAGAGTCACACAGGGAGAGGTGAGAGGTTTTTTTCATTGATGAAGAAAGAGCATACAGTGAAATATGAAAGAAATATACAAGGAAAAAACCCAGCCAGATTCACTTTTTGTTTAACAAACTGGGAAGAACGTAGGAGTCTACACACTGATTTCCTATCTCATCACGAACAGAACAGGGCTGCCACTGAAAAGTCAACTTAAAACAAATATGCTGGATTAATCACTGACCCAGTTAGTTTATTATTCCATTTCAGAGCCTTAGTTTTATGGATGCCAGCCAAAACCGATCACCTTTTCTGTGTTACCTGGCATAACAAGATTTTGCTTCATCTACAAATTTCGTCACTTCTGTTTTGAATGTTCTCCTTTGATGGAGTGGTTTTAAACGATAAATATTTAGGAACTGGTTTGTACAGAACAATTTCAAAATATATATAATATAGGAAGTAGTTTTACAATGCAGCATTTATAGTGGAGCACTTTAAGTGATACATAGCAGGACAAAAATTCAGTACTGAACTTAAGAGACTTACAGAAATGCAGTCTGTTACCTGACTTATCACGAGAAGCTGTATTTGAAAAAGATAATGGATATCCTCAGCCATATTCACAAAAGTGTTTAGCACTTTGTTACAATATTACAAAAAATAACAAACAGTTTAAAGACTGAGATAATCTTGCTGAGGACTAGATTGTTTTCCATCCTCTTCCTGAGCACTAGATTTTTTTCATCACTTGTCACTTCCTTGCTTTCCCAGTATCTATAAATATGTTCCATATGTAATGATTCTCACATTTCAGACACACAGGTGTATTCAGCAGCCATCTGTAGCTTAAAATTCTGTAACCAGTAATTTTGACAGAAATTTTGATACAGAAGGACCAAAGAATATTGCATTTAATAACCACGAGCAAGGCACGGGTTTTTCCAACTGTGTAACTCTTACAAGCCTTTATTAGTTCAACAGATTTTATTCCTTAACTGTTTTTAAGATGTGAATCTCATTATATGAAACAACAACAACACAACCCCAACCCCATCCCACTGTTCATCCTTCGGCCAAATAAAATGTAATCCTGAAGTAGTCCATGACAAACGAGGTCTGTGGGAGTAAGCCAAGTGACAAACCAGTTTACACAGGTACTTAAAGATGAAGACTTCACGGTCAGATACAGATGTAACATATTCTAATTGACACAATTCAAACACAAACAGTCCTGCAATTAGCGCTGCCATTTTGTGTATCTTCTGGGAAAAAAACAAAAAGCACTAAAATCCTAGCAGAAGGTTGGGCAAAGGAGTCAGTTATTTGCAACGAGGCCCTGCCAAGGACAAGCTACAGAGTTCAACAAAGCCTACAAAGACAGTGCTTCAAAAGCGGCAGCACGACCTTCAGGCAACCTGACTTCCGTAGCAAACATCCAAGTGAAAAGCTGAAATGAAACCACTACTTGAATGTTAATGAATTAAGATGGAGACAGTAAATACTGGTTGTGGTAGAAGCCAAAATCAAGGGAAAATCTAAGCAAAAGTATTCTGAGATTAATACTAATGTGAGGACAAACACGAACTGGAAGAATATATTCTACTGCTTTTACAATTTCTGAATATGCTCTTAAAATTTATCCCATCTTCCAACCCGTCTGAATACCCCAGCAATAAATCTGGTCAGGATAAATTTAGATTGGGTAACTGCAGAAACTGGTGATGAAAAGGGAAAAGATCTTTAAGTTGACTAGTCAGTTCTTTTTTAGGACTACTGTACCAGAGACGAACTGGTAGTCAAAACAGAGAACCTACTGAAAAGCCACTGAAATATACTCAGTCATTTTAAATCAAGCTACATGAATAATGGAATTGAAATCTTTGAGCAGATTTAGATAACCAAGGATTGAAAGGAACAAATCTTTACAATTTTGAAGTTTTTCCCTTTGTACTGTCAACTTCTGTAGCACGTTCCGTAGCATGCAGACAGCAGAAATTGAGGAATATTCCCTTTTAGGATCTACACATGATAATAACCGAGGACATAATGCAGGTTGGAGTTAGGCTAACCCTCTCCTTCAAACCTCTAGCTCAAAAGAACACTTAACTCTTACAAATTCACAGCCACAAAGAACAAGAGTGAATGGGCAACAGCAGCTGGGAATGTTATTAAGTTTGCCAAATTTGAATGGTCATGGAGATAACATGGTCTCCTGTGCTACAAAGTGAATCTCTTCATGCCCCTGACGTAGGACACTTCATTTAACCAGTTCTCATTTTGGCGTTTTCAATAGTAGGAAAGAGAAAATAGCTTTGCTCTGGTCTTGCAGTCAATTCACTGACCTGTGTGTGGGTAGAAGTGGCAGAAGGTCTACAGCAGCATAACATATGGCAATTGTAACCTCTATTAAATTACCTGGTTTTAAACTTGTTTCTCAGTCAGCCTTCAAAGAGGGATGTATTAATACTGGTAGATGGAGACATGGGCTTTGTGTGTTTTTAGGTCTAAAGCTAGATTAGCCTTTCCTTTCTATGCCCATCTATGACCAAAGTACGGTATTAGGATCTTCATTACAGAAAAAATAAAGCACTGCTGTCACCTAGGCTCTTCACCCATTTATAAGAAAATTCCAGTCTGATGTTTCTCCTGCAGCTTCCTCCCACCACATACCGAAGGTACCGATTTTCCTTTTACACAACTGCACTCCATTCCCTTTAGCTGACTGTCATTATCCACTAATTATACTGCAGGCTCTGTGACAAGAAAGTAGCCCCATAAGTGCACAATGTAATTTCATCTATCAGTTATTGGAGAATAATTCCACGAGTCCCAGGTCAATGCAACTTTCCCAACAGATAAAATTTATGACTCCTTGTAGTAGTACTTAGAAGCACATTTTGTCATTCAGCTGTGACAGTATTTCATATTTGAAAGAATAGCAGTGGTTTTACTTACCCTGGACTTGAGGGAACCTTCCCAATTTTCATCCACACACCTCTAGGACAGCTCCTGCATAAAGCTGTAATGATAGAGAGAAGCTGTTAATGACATCAAAAATCCAAATTACTAGTTTCCTCATGGCGTGTTATCTATTGAACTGTTCTTTTTTGAGGGGACAATACACCATTGTGTTGATGGTAACTACAAATAATTAAGATCCTAACCTGAGCCACAATTCCAGACCTGTCTCTGATGCTCACTCAAGATACATGATAACTTCCACTCGTTACATTAAAAATGTAAAAACAGGAAAAAAGGTCATTTGAGATACACTGTTTCTTCCAGCAAAGCTTTTATTTTTGATGCAATCTGACATACTGTAATGGGAATTATGGACTAGTAATAGGAAAACTATTTCTTCCTCCCCAGAGATTCTAGGAAATTCTCAGGGAGTAAAACTGCAGTTTCCATCTTAAACCTAACTTGGACAGTGAAATACAGTTTATAATAAAGATAAGGAACTAGTACATTAACTGGGGCTGCAGAAACAAGACAGATCACATTAACAGGCCTTAGCTGAAGTAATATATACAGGCTGGGCTATCTTTAATGCTTGCATTTAGATGTCAGTCACTCCTGTCAGCTATGCAAGATATGCAGATTTAATGTTTTTAAAGCAAAATATAAGTTCATTTCAATTTTATAAAATGTAGTATCTCAATTAAAAAAAAAAAATCAATCTTATATACTGTCACATGTTTTTTAACTTCTTTTTGGCAATGTGCAATTGATTCTATAGTTTGATGTACCTTAAATATAACTTAACAGATTTTCCTTGCTACTAAACCCTAACTTCACACTGTAAAGATATGCATTTTAATCTTACACAGTTGTCAATACTGTATACCAAATCACATCCTTTTAACCCTGAAATCCAACTGCTTACAGGGAAGCTGACAGAATAAACTTCAGTTAAAAATATTTAATTCAATTCATTACTTTCTATAAACAAGATTCTGCTTTCTTTTTCTTTCAGACAGTGTTGTAACATAACAAAAGTGCAAGTCAGGATGTGGAGAAATATTAACCTTACTGAATGAAATAAATTCACATTTCACTTAAAAGATGAACTGTGAATTCATGTAATTAAAAATGAGCTTTCACTATGAAATTTAATGAGTACTATCCCTTCTGGAAAAGGGCTGACAAGTCATAAAAGCAAACCACACAATATACAACAGAAGTCTCAAAGTAAGACAATTTTATTAACATTTCATCACCTATCTATGCAGGCATTATGGACAGCAAGGAACACATCTTCATTTCAGAACGTGAATCTTCTGAATTCAGGTCCAACTCAGTGCTTGCTTAAGTACTGTGAGTTAGGACATACGAAATACCCTAATAGTTCTCAAGAAAATTGCAACTTCCTGCCTGACATGAACTAATCAGTAATGATTACTTCCATGGGAAACAGAACAAGAAATGTTGCGTGGTGTTATCCATTCAGAACAGCATCTCATAAATTTGCTTAAACTGCATTTACATTTTCAAATAAACATTAGATTTATGATAAAAATTAAGATTTGACTGTTCAAACCCAGAACTGCTATGAAACAATACTTGAGAGATCAAAACAACCAGATTTTTAAAAGCCTTCTTTCACTGCCCATATGAAGATTTTAATTAAGGAGGACACTGATAAACAGCTCAGATACTAGCTTGCATAATTAAAGTTCCTCTGGACTCAAAACATGAAATACTTACAAAGCTGGAGGAAACATGGAATAGCAAGATTAAAAACTTCGCTTACATTGTCTCCATTAATTTTTCTTTAACAAAAAACACTCAACAACAATTATATCAGTGATTCTGAATTATTAGTTTGCACACACGCTGAACATTTATACTGGCTTTCTGATACTGACAATTATCTACATTTTTCTATCAAAAAGTTAGTATAAAGAAGTAGACATAATGGAATAAATAGGGTTTTTCTATCTACTTAACTATTTTTTTTATTTATATGTATAAAGAAATAAGTACACCCAAATTTAGGACCATGACAAAACAAGCATTTTTCAATTCTCATTGCTGAAAATAATTCTTACAGCTTGTATCTTCCTTTCAAACAAGGATTACTATGGAACAAGATCACTGTAGGAATCTAAAATACATAACACATCCTGTAATCACAACTACTCCCAGTTCCTAACTCTGGTTGGCTACAACTACAGCAATATCTGACAGAAGTCAAGTGTAACAAAGGAAACAGCTCAATCATTGATGTCTATATTTTGAGTTTTTAGCTCTGCTGTAACTGAAGTACAAGAGTTCAGATTCATGCTGGGACAAACAGCTGCTCTCTAGATGGCCAGACCAGAAAAAAGAAAAGAACAATCAATTGGCTTCATTTATAGCTCTGAACAAAGGTGTCTGTTGCAAGAAAGACAGGTTTATTAGGTCACTCAGCCCACAACAAAAGCATACTTGTCAGTATCTACTGCTGCTACCATCCCATCGTGTCCAGAGCAGATGTCCTCCAAGCTTCCTTGTGAAGGCACCCACTGTGCTCAAGTCTTACTAAGGATGACATGTATCACTCAGTGTGGAGGCATACAAACATGACCAGTCAGTTCATTACACAGCGCTTAACTCAGAAGTTAGTTCATGTTAAAATAATGCTTCACTTGTTGCAGTGCTCATAAAAGTGAGTCTAGTACTGCAAGGAATGAAACAAAGACTGAGCTATTACTAGTGTCCATTTTAACATCCAAAACAAGTGCTGTTTTGATTTCCAGGATGATTCATGTCTGCATCAGTAACTTTTTTTCCTTAAACATTCTAGAAGCATGCTCTCGGCAAAACTGATCTTTTCCCTCATCTTTTACAAACCACCAGTTTGAGTTACATTTCATTAAAAAGGTTTCTGTGAGCACCTGAACATCTGTAATAGTTCACACCGATGGAATGAAGGTGGGTCTATGCAAGTGAGGAGGAAAACCACACTACGAGTCACGTCTGCTTTTAATGATGAAGGAAAGTGGTAATTATAACAGAATAAACCAAATTTACATAAAATTAGTGTTAGATAGAAATATGTATTGTAAAAAGAATTGTTCTGATAATTAAAAACAAGGAATTTGGATGAAAGAAAACATTCCATCTGCTCTCAGGAAGGGAATTAAAGAAATTTCTGCAAGACAGAATTCCAGCGGTGGTTCATTTATAGATATGGTATTGTTATCACAATTATTCACGGTAAAAAAAAAAAAAACAGAAGAAAAATTATATTTCTGCTGTGAAGCTGCAACATAACTGTTAGTGTTTACAACCAAACAGGAATTCAGATCTAACCAAACTGAAAAAATGGTACATCAACTCATGCTATTGTTTTACTTCCAAGAAAATTCAGAAGAACTATGGATATTATTATTCTTATTGGCCAAAGTTGCTTGGTATTATTTTAAAATAGGGTGCCTGATCTCTTTTTAAAAATTAATTTGCATGCCTTTCAGAGTGCCCCACCCACCCAGGAAGCAAAACAAGGGAAGAACTGGTATTTCGTTATTCTGAGAAATGAAGTCACAAAGAAAAGAGATTTTGGTGCAAGTTTCTTACCTAAACTCTTATAACCACTGATTCATTGGTGGAGATTGATTCTCTCTCCCCGATTGGTGGGGGAGAGACTGCAGGTATTTGTATGGTCAGTTTAGACCGGTTAGAAGTTTTCAAAATCTAAGCTTCCCCTTCCCTAGAAACGGGAAACGAACAAGAATCTGTGGGTTAACAGAGCAGTCCGAAAGCCTCATGCCAGAAACATCATGAATTACTGTTCTGTAATGCAGAAAGCCAATAAAGTCATCACTGCTACACACACACCACTCCGAACCCATGTCAGCAGTAAATTTAGCAACAAAGAAACTGCTCCCATTCACAACTCATTATCTTGTGAGCAGAGATGGCTAACCCTTATTTAGAGTTTTGAAACAGTCAGTCAAAAACCAATTACCTGAATTAGTGCTATGTATTACAGGCAAATTCCTCTGAAGGAAGCTGAAGCAGAATCTAAGCTCTCAATTTATTTGCAGGGAAGGAAGTTCCAACTGAATGTAAGGGTGAAAAAAGGGTCACAACGCGGGTGTTCAGGTACTGAAATAATTTACTAAGAAAGGTTGTACAATCTGTATCCTTGGAGACCTTCAGAGTTTTGCTTTGAGTAGGAAATTCAACTTTTTCATTCTGTATGTACACAACATAGTTGTGCATTACTATTACAGTGTTAAGCACACAGGAAACGTGCCATCCATCTCAGTGATTTGTTTTTGGTGTTAAGCAATCTCCTCCTCGCAGTACTGTGTAAGCTTTTTCACTCTTTAAATCCAACAACCTCCAAAAAGCTCCAAAATAACTTCCCCTCCTGGCAGACTATTGCTGTTAAGTAGTCTCCAAAATGGTTTGGTGTAAGGTCACACGAGCAAGAAATCTGGCAGAAGGGTGAGAAAGAAAATGCAAGTGCTGAGCAGACATCAGTTAAATAACTTCAGACCTCTGGAGCTGTAGCACAGATTAGGTGGTGTGAATACCCCAGTTTATTTGAGTGGGGGTGGGGGACAAAGTAGAATAGGGAAGAGTGGCAGAAAAAGGACTCCTATGTACAGGCTCTCACTTGGACCTAGTGAACAGAATTCTCCAAGCTAAAAAGTAAAAGGTTAACAGCTTAAGTTCCAAATTTGGAACATATTGTCCAACTAACTTTGCTATCTAACCATCTATTACCTCTAGAAGCAGAAACCCTAAACATCTCAATTCTCCAGAACCTGTTCTTTCACTAAAAAAGAAAGCACCTTGGAAGACTTGCAAAGAAAACACCGAGAACGGAACTCATCAACTATGCGACTTGACACATTTAAGTAATTTGGAGACTTTGTACTTTTTAAAGTTGTTCCAGCAAACATAGAGTCAAATGCTCGTATTTTATCCAGATATGTATCCAGATGAAAGAGGTCTGACCTAGCTAAACCTATTCCATTTGCCAGCACGGACGCACATCAATAACTTTAGCTCACATTTAGCAGA